TCTCTTTTCTCTATATATCTTGTTTGTCAATCTCTGTGTTTGTGTGTTGCACAATATTAAATATACTGCTAGCAATATAAGCAAAACTCTCTCTCTCTCTATATATATATATATATATATATATATATATATATATATATATATATATATATATATATATATACTGTCACAGAAGACGAAGAAGAGAGCTGATTAATCAGCACATCCTGTATAAAGCTGATTGACGCAGTCTCTTGCTTAAAGAAAGCAATATGCTTGTCAGAACCAGCTGACGTTCTTCTGTGACTGTCCAGAGGTTAATGAATCAATCAAAATAGTGTCTATCCTTCACACTGATTTGTATTCAGCCAAGACACGTAAACTTCTCAATAGATTTGAATTAATGTCATTTAATAGGTGGCCTTATCACCTGTATGGCAGTGAATGCTGGACAAATGCCTTCACAGATGAAGAAGAGACAGATGAAGTAAAAGAGATGCAGGTCTACTGAAGAATATTGCGAAGGCCATGGACATAACATGTCAGCAATGAGGAAGTTTTAGAGCAAACAGGAAATTCAAGGAAACTGGTAGTTCACTAGAATAACGGAAGTTGTCTTCCAGAAACTCAGCAAAATATTAGGGGATGAGAAAAGGTCGTTAGAAACAAAGACATCGGTGTTGAATTGCAATGCAATATCTAATCCCCTATACAGCAAAAGACAGGAAGTTGTGGAGAACCATGGTCTCCTACGTTCAGAAGAGACACGCCACATAAAATAATACTGTGTATTAATGACCCACAAGATCCCCATGTTAACTCTTACTCCATGACAAAGTGACCTAGACGTATTGATATAAATATATTTGCTCATCTTTCTAACTTATAAATAACTTGCTATTCGGAGATGTTTGCTTTTGTTTCACTAACTGGATATCCGTCCTACGAACAGAGAAAAGCTATGTTGTCTTAAAAGTTCTGTACAAATATAATTTTCAATAACACATCTATTTTATAAAGTTTCCTACATACAGTGCTGTTCGATATAAGTGACTCACCTGATTTTTTTTTACTTAAACATTTTTTTACTTAAACATTTTTTTTAATTTTTTTCGCCTATTGTTTAATTTTTAATGTTACTAATATAAAAACCCCTTCCCCACCACCTAGTAAAAAAGTTTACTCACTCTAAGGTATTCTATTTATAATTATAATTTTGGATATAAATGAGATTTAGGGAAAACTCTATGCAAAAAAAAGCAACTCACTTATTTCCTGCAACTAGTAATCAATAGAAACATAACCGAACAGCTTTAAATAAAGAATAATAGAGGTATAATTTATTTATAATAGGAAATATAGTTCGAAATATTTAATAACCTATGGATCCTCCTTTATTTTGAATAACCTTTTCAACCCTTTTTGGCATTGACTTGATTAGGTTCTGGTAAATCTCATCTCCAAGCATTGAATTCCATTCGGATATGAAATTCACAATCAAATCCTCTTTGTTGCTCAACTGCTTTCTCGATAGCCTGTACTTTATAATGATCCCTAAGTTTTCTATGGGGTTGATGTCAGCAGATTGGGCGGCCATGTTCATAACATTCACCTGCTTCTCATCAATTTTGATTTGTGACAGGGAGCATTATCTTGCATAAAAATAAGCTTGGTGGGGTCGATTTGCACTCTTTCAGTAGAAGGGAGCAGACAAGACTCTAAAATTCTCTTGTACTGCTCGCTCCTGAGGGTCTTTTCAATAGGTTTTAAGAAACCAGTTCCATGAAAAGAAAAGCATCCCCAGAACATTATACTGAACGGATGCTTGACAGTACTTGTTGCTAAATTTAAAGAGCTTTCAAAGCTTCTTCTTCGGATTTTAGATCGCTTATCCTTTGAATTTAGCTCAACTTTCGTTTCATAGGAGAAGAGAACATTTAGTTAAAAAAAATCAGGTGAGTCACTTTTATCGAACGTCGCTGTAGGTGCACAGAGCTGACCACGAGATAAGCGGCTCGGATTGAGGAGTCGGAGAGCCGAGTTCGAATTCCAGTCGGATCCATTACATTCACTTACGTGCTAATAAACTTGGGAAAAGTATGAATCCTCTTCTTCTTCTCCCAGCTATGTATAAACAGCAGGACAAACCGGGTTCTATAGCCTTGGATGGCAGAAAGAAATGACAAACTACCGCAGAAAGAAATGGCAACCTACTGCGGGAAAAAATCTGCCTCGTCAGTCATGTAACAAAATATATATGATCGCCTAAGCGTGTATTATGCATGGCACATAACTGACTGGCTGACTTGCGAGTCGAATCCATTACATTCACTTACGTACTAATACCCTTGGGAAAGGTATGAATGCTCTTCTTCTACCCCCACCCAGCTATGGGGAAATAGCAGGACAGACCGGGTTCTATAGCCTTGGATGGCAACTGGTCTACCGGAGAAAGAAATGGCAACCTACTGCGGGAAAAAATCTGCCTCGTCAGTCATGCATCGAAAGATACATGATCGCCTAAGCGTGTATCACGCATGGCATATAACTGACTGAGATAGATGCACATGAGATAAACATCTGAATAATTTTCTGATATCTATATTTATTAGATTAGCCCGTGATAATTCCACGGTTTTCCTATCTTAATTCTTCCGTTAATGATGGAATCAACTCATGGCCGTAGAAATTCTAGTATCGTATCGTTAAATATTTGAGCTTAACAACTTTAACAAAATATTGCAATAACAATCATAAATATGAATGCTGGGGCAATTCGACGTGGTGTTAATGGTTAGAAAGCTTGTTTCGCTAGATCAATTACCACTGAATCGTGAGTTCGATCCTCACTGGGTGCCCCATGTTTTCGGCCTTGTGCCACATCTGAGCTACGCTTAGAAAGTCGTCATAAATATGAATGCTGGTTAAGGCACCTCGACCTGGTGTAATGGTTAGCAAGCTTGCCTCGTTAGAGCAATTACGAGTGTGTTCGATCCTCACTGGGGATCCGATACAGCCAGCCTTCTTCCGCATCTAAATTACGCTTAGAAACTCAGCATAAATATGAATGCTGGTCGTTATTTTATGAAGTAAGGGGGTACAAATGAAAAGAATTGGATATTTGACGATTTTTTTTCCAATTCGCAAAAACATATGTCAAACCCTTCTAGTGTTCTTTCTTTCATTTTCTTACTGAAAGCAAGTCGCGTTTTTGATGTCTTTTGTCTTCCAACATGATCAAAACGGAATAGTCCATTATTTATGAGGCATTGGCAGTGCGTAACGAAGGTTATGCTTTGTTTTCCTCTGCCCCTCTTGTATTCAGTCTGTCTTATGAGTATCAAATTTTCTAAACCCGCTTTCCTCACTATGTGTCGTAAAAAATGTCTACTGTCTCTTACCGAGGTTAAGTATAAGTGTCCTTTTTGTTTCCATTTTCTCTAAAAATTCGTCATTTCTCAGTCCGTGACATTCTTAGCTTCCTTCTGTAGAACATTTTCTGTTGCTTCAAATCTCTTCTTCATCTGTGAGGAAAATTGTCCAGCATCGACTACAATATAGGATGTCTGATATTACGTAACAGTTCAGTATCGTTTTTTTTTCTTTTTTTTTTTTTTTTTTGCTTTTAACGAAATTTTTCTTTTTTCTTAATACTTTGCTTAGCTTTTGGAAGGCATCTTTCGCTATGCCAATGTGCCTACGTATATCAGTATCGCACTTCCCGCACTCTGTTAAAACACTTCCCAGATATTTAAATTGTTGTACAGGTTCGATTCCGATATCATCAATTTCTAATTTGCCTATTGGGATCTTCCTTTTGCTAACAACTATGCATTCTGCCTTCTTGCAATTGAAGTTTAGTCCTTTGTTCTCGCTTTCCTCTCTTGTGTTATATGCATCCGATAGTCTCAGGAGACTATAGAGATATGTTCTGAATCATTTTTCATGTGCTGCCTACGTTGTGGCCTGACAGGCCAACTCAAGAGTAAATAAACACTAATAAAGATGAATGAAACATTTGCCTTCACAATATTTTAAAGACGTACTTTTTAAATTTTATTGATGTAAATATTTTTAGCTTTCTTTATGGGAAGAAAACGTTTCATTTTTTTTATGCAGTCATATTCCATTTGTATTTCAAGATTTGTCTGGACAACTAATCTCATATATTTTGCTAATATTGTTTTTTGCTTGTTTGAATTTCTAGGATATGAAGCCATTATTTACATTCAGACTATTGTCTTCGTCTTTGTTGCTGCTATGACAACGTTTTAGCCGTTGTGCTCACCGGTCTTCATCAGGTGTATATCGATCCGGGTAAACTACAGAGAATTCCAAAGTGAACACTTTATTTAATCTACTAGGGTAGACAGTTCTTGTTCCACTGCCCATGTAGGGATATCTTGTCTAGTCCTTATTCTTACTATTGCTCAGTTATTGCTCAACCTGTTTCTAATGTGTCCAAGTACACACTGCCAGGCCAGGGGATTCCTAACTGAACACTTTATTTAATCTACTAGGGTAGACTGTTCTTGTTCCACTGCCCATGTAGGGATAACTTGTCTAGTCCTTATTCTTACTATTGCTCACCCTGTTTCTAATGTGTCCAATGGATTTTTGAAATAATATTACCAGAAATTCCTTTTGGAAAAAAATATTGCTAGAAATAAAAGTTTTGTCAGCATTAAAAGCCCATTGAGGTTGATATACCGTAAACCAAAGCAAATCAAACCAAACCATCGAATGGTATTTGCGTATATCATGATTGTGCATTTCTTGTGTATTGCCGATGTTATGACTAAAATATTTTGACGCGTCAATTCAAATTTCAATTGAATTAGAATTCAACATTTTCAGAAATCTTTATTGTCAAGAAGATGCCAAGTATTTTCTTTCATTCGCAGTGAACAAAAATTTCCAGGCGTGGTTTTGATTTTTGGTTCTTGCTACTGCTTGAGTGTTTCGCATATGATCAACATTTGAACTCAATTCCTTTTTTCTTTTCATTTCATACTGGCAAT